ACTGTTGATTCTTACTTAAATGAGAAGTAGCCTCTCTAAAATCTGTGGCATCAATCACACAAGCTATTGAACGGGGGTGAGGGACAGGGGAATGACAGCCCGCTTTTCAGTGGGGTTTGAGAGCTGTGTAATCCTGTGCCCAGTGATATCTACCAGAAAATATGTACAGCTGTATTAATCAAGGAGCATGCATTAATGGTGAGCAGATATCATATGAACTGCTGTAGGCACAAACCTAGCTTTTCTCCACCCAAAAATAAAAAAATCCCTCTAGTCCTGAATAAAAGGCTAAATATACAATGAGTATCCTAGAGGACTGTCCAATTTTCTCCTCTCTGTTTTTCCAAGACATCTGATATGTTCTCAGTCTCTTCTGCAGAGACAGTACCTTGAAATATCTGGTGACTCTCCAATAACATCCTAAGATGATTCCCTTCTCTGTAATTCACCCAAAGGGTAGCAAGCAAATGGAGCATGAATGCTTTAACTCCCAGCAGCATCTTTTCTCAGGGCTTTTCACCCTGTCCAGACATTTACACATCTACAGTGAGCACAAAGCGACTGTCACTCAGCATGGCTGTACTCAGTCCCAGTGCCCACCAGGCTAAATAGGTGAGCACAGCACCACACTGAAAAGGTCAGGGTCCTAAGGCCCAGGAACTGGTGATTTGTTGGGAAGTTAGGAACGTCAGTGAGAATTTGGAAACAAAAGATTTGTGTGGACTGGGTCTTCTGCTTAGCTGGTGATACAGAGTTGCATACAACCCTCTCCACCCCACCCTATTTAACTGGGACCTGGTCAAAATGCCTCTATCTAGCAACAAGAAGAATAGAAGGTGGTCACAAACTATACATGGAAAAGCCTTAATCTTAAAAACACACAAACAAACAAACAAACAAAAACCCAAATAACCCCCCCAAAAAACACACCACCTTTTTCTTTGGCAAAGATAACCTCCTGGATAACAACTTTGTCCATAAATAAGGGCTAAGACAAGTTAGAGAAATCCAAGTCCTTCTGGTCTCCCCATGTGTTGCAGTTCCTTCAATCTTTCATTATTTTTGCTTGGGGGTGTGTGTGTGTGTGTGTGTGTGTGTGTACTTATATTTTTAAACCAAACTCCCTAAAATTTCAACATCTTCCTTAAGGCCCTGAGACTCATCATGTCCTCTGACAATGCAGAGAACAATGACCGGATCAGAACAAAGATCAGATCCCTGCAAAATATTTCTTTCTACTTTTTGAAGTTTATGAAAGCTCCTTACAGAATCAGGAATCTAACCTTTAATTTCTTTTAAGCAGTGTTTGAAATACTTTCTATAACGAGGCCATTTGTAGATGCCCTTACTCAAAGCAAGTAACATTTTAAGCCCTCAACAGACCCTACTGGCTTAAAGCATGGTGATTCCTAATTCAAGTGAATGCAACATTCCCATGCTAGAATATTTCTCCCCAGCAAAACTCTTCTCTAGTGCACTTTTATTCAAGAACCAGTAATAAAATGAAGGGCTGATGTGGTATACTAGTATTTCCTCAATTAAAATCTGACCAAAGTCTCATATGGTCAAAAGATGAATCAGTTTATATGTAGAACCCTCTCAATTTATACATATTTGATAGCCTATTCAAGCCAGATGGCTAATCCAGGTATCAGGTTTCTATGCCCAAGACAAATGTGCCCCAGTTATTTTCTGCTTGGCATCTAAAGTGTTTCAGGATGAGTTTTGTTGTAGCCAACTATAAAGCTTATCTGGAAGTAAGCAAAAATGTTCAAGAAAATGAATCAAAGTTTTCCTTTAATTTTTTTTCTTTTTTTTAAAAAAAACTGTTTTCAGGGGAACATTTCCAAGTTGCCAGCTCTGGGGAGCAAGAGGTTGAGGGCAGAAGGAAAATTCCACAAAAGACAACACACTGCATTGACCCAGGCAACATTTCAGCTCTGTCCAAGTCTTTAGAAAGCTCCTCTATTAATGCATTGGGACTGATGGCCAAGATCTATATTAGCTTTCTCACTGCCCAAGTTTCAGCTCCAGCCAGGGGGTCTGCACTGTGCTAAATCTGTTAGCCAATTCAGACAAAAGCATGGACCCCCTTTTCTATGCAACCACACCTGATCACAGCTACATTTTGTCATGAATACATCCCTCTTCCCACAGGCTAGCAGATTACAAATAGCAGAAAAAACAAAAGTGAAGGATTGGCAGTGGAGCATTTTTCATACTCAGTATATTTTACAGATATTTCTCCAAAAATGCAAATAATCTGTTTGGACAGAATGTTTTCCAGATAAAATAGAGAGCTTAGAAAACTCTTTGCAGCTGTATCTTTAGTTTTTAAAATAGGAGGTTAATGTCTCAAATCAAACCAAATATTTTGACCTATTTTGATTGTTCAGTTTGAAAAAAAACCACCACAGTAAAGTTAAGTCTGCTTGGATTTGATTCTTTCTTTCAGAGCCCTCAATATACTGAAAAGAGACATTCACAAAGGTTATGCTTATCTTCAGGGTAACTAAGCGAGCTACAGGAGAAAATTTCCCTCACTAATCACATTTTGTTATTAGAAAACCAGGCGCAGTGAATGCTCAACAAAGGAAGTCAACAGAAATTAGAGAGGGGATTTGAGTTTTCAACAGGGAGTCTGTTGGTGTCACACAACCATTCCCACCCTGGCTCCATGACACTCTTGACCCAGTTGAGGTGATGGGGGAAGTAAAAAGTATTAGAGCAAAGTTTTCTAATCCTTTTGCAATGTCTCACAGCAGCAATTCAGAGATTTGACCTGGGCTTGGAGGATGCTACATGGTGGTACTAGATCTTTGCTACTGAAGAAGCTGCAGCCTCTACCTCCTGCAACCTACCTAGAAACTCCCCACTTGTAGTCCCACCATGACCCCTCCAGTCTGCAACCCAAAGAGCAAGTACCCCTTTCCCCACCATGAACAGTCATCCTTCCAGTTCACAAACCCTTTTGGGGGTCTTAGCTTCTAGCACGGCTTCTCTCTTTCCCCCACATCACAAAAACCTCAGCTGCACCTCCTCTCACCACACCAGTGAGCTCTGAAGCTGGCATACTGGTGCCCTGCCTAACCCCAGCCCTAGAGGAAGAGTGTCCTAGAGAGCACAGGCTGTGAATACTAAATTCCCACTGCCCTGCAGGGTACATGTACACATCAGCCGCTAACCTACCAATACAGTCCATCCAATGTCCAAAACACATGGATAATTTTTCCCTTAATGTTCAAAATGTGGAAAACGTGACCAGTGCAGAGGAAGAGCTTCACAGTCAGACATCACCTCCATCAACAGGTTAATCTTCTGCTCAGTGCCAACTGGATCACATTGAGCAGGCAAGCAGCAGCACCACTCATCTAACGTTGAGCACTGTATTATCCATATAAGGGGCTGAGCAAAGCCCAGTGAAGGTACGGGGACCATCCAGCTGCATCTAACACAACCTGCAAGCCACATGTAAAACCAGCCAGCTAGGCAAACACATGGCACCTCTCACCCTCAGTGCTCATTGCTCACTGACTTTATAGCTTATTGGAGAAATAGAATCCTTCCCTATAAGGAAGTCCTGATAGGTCTGGACAAGGAATATCTCCTCTTGATGATACGGACCCAGAAAGTGCTGACATGAATCAAACTTTCTGCTTGCCACTCCCTGCCCCTCTCCAGACTCCTAAAAATAGCCATCATAAGATGTCGATCAAGACATGGAGCCTCCTGTCACTTTGCCCTAAGAAAGTTAAAGAACTCGCCAAGGGGAGGGACCGCTTCCTTCTGACACCTAATCCAGGCAATGCCGTCAGCACCGCCAGATAAATAAGGGGAAGAAAGGCCAGGAAAGCAGGACCACCCTCGAGACCTCTCAGCTAATCCCTCCTGCCCGTCTGCTGCTCTGCTTTTCCAACTCTCAACCATGGTGGGTCCACTGGAGAGCTAATAGTTAGCAGCAAGTCAGTGTATTTTACATAAGTAAATTGGGCTTCTTGCTCAAGTTAGTTCTATGGTGGGGAAAGACAGTCCAGAAGACAGTTTAGGTTTGCTTGGCTTTCCTCCTTAAACCTAAAGTACTATGCGATGTTTTCCAGTTAGCCTCAAGATCCGCACCAGGCAATGGTAGACGTGCAGCTCCTGTAGCTTCTGACAGAAGGGTTACAATTTGCTAGTGCTGTCTGCTAAGCATTTTTTTTTTTTTTTTTTTTAAATTGGATCGACCGTGTTAACATGGCAATGGAAAATAGTAGTATTTTTATATAAGAAAATATCATAGTTTAGTACTTTATGAAACATTGTACTGTCAAAAACTAATTTGAAACAAACTTTAAGGGATTGGTTTAATTTCTATGTTAATGTAAAAAAAGCTACTTGTTAAGCAATATTACTTCAAATGGTCTTAATAAAATGGGTCTGTACTAAACCAGTAAATGACCTGATGGTACATTAATGACTTATTCGTTAGTTAAGAGACTTTAGATTTTGTTGCTTCTAGCCACAACCCTGGCTTTCCCTGGGATGCAGATTTTAATAGAATCTTTAAGAATAGAACTGGTGATGCATTTTTACAAGGGAAGTTGCTAGTTTAGGTTGTTACGGCCTAATTACATTAGGCAAGACAGATGTGAGAGTACTCAGCTACTTTGTGCTATTTGCTTTCTCTCAGTGCATTTTCAGCAGTACTAGTTCTCTTTTTTCTCTCTCTTTTTCTTCCCAACTGCAGTCCTTCACTCCTGACCAAATTAGTGGTAAGTGAAATAAAAGTTAAAGTTTAACAGGGGGCAGGAGGGGGAACATAACAGCTACCGAATGCTAAATATTCACTAGTCTTAACAGCTCTTTTGCTATCTGCATTACTTCTGCGCATCTGACAGGCCACATTTTTGCTGTTTTGGAAGATGACTCATGGATTGAGCTGGATGCTTTAGAAAACAAACAGGTTTTCCGCCAGCCACTCCTTCTTAAGCTATTTTTTGTGATTGATTTCCTTCCAACAGATCGAGTTCTCCCAGGAGCAAAAGGATGGTAAGTTACGAGAGCCGATGTGTTTTACATGTGTGTGGGTTCAGAGAGGAGCTACAGACTCAGAAGTCTAACCTTTACAAAAAGATGAGCTAGGACTTCAGCTGGTATAAATCACCACACTCTTGACTTCAGAGCAGCAGTGTTGACTTACGCTGAACAAGAATCTGACCATACATTTACATGTAATTTATCTGGGTCCTTATGTGCTGCCCAAGCTGAGAAGTTTATGCCATGGTATGAAGAGGAAATACGCTGGTGTTAGCAGCTCTACCTGCTGCACATTTTTCAGTTGCGCTCATGTACTGTGCGG